AAAGATTATTAATTATTAAAAAAGAAATTTATTAAGTTAAGATTTATACCAACTTGTTTAATTCATAATTTTTATGTAAAGAATTCTAAATTAATAATAATATTATATATTCAAATATTATATAAAACATTTAATAACTTTCAAATTTGTTTATATTCTATATGTTATATTCTATATGTTTATATAATAATATATATATATATATTTAATAATATATATTTTTTTAATAAGTTATATAATATATATTATTATAATATATTATTCGAATAGAATAAAATTTAATTTTGTTTATTGTATAAAACTATCATATTTATATTTTTTATTTTTTTAATGAATGAATTTTTAAATATATAAATCATATAATCATATTTATGTTATTAAAAGCATGAATTAAAGATGTATTTGCTTTTCAATTGATATATGCAATATATTTATGCATTAATTTTATATGATTATTAATTCTGATATTGTAATTTATCTTAAAGGTGGAAGTCGTGGTTCAACTCCTGAACAAGATAGAGAAGGACGTCTTGGCACCTCTCCTCACATTAATAGGTTCCTTGCAAGAGAACCACCTGATGGCTGTGAGAAAGTCAATCTCAAATTTGTAGAGGATGCCAGGTAATTTTTTTTAATTAATATAGACATTATTATTTTGTAATAATATATGTAAAAATTTTGTTATATGTTTTTTATTAAATTTTACATATCTTATTTAAAAATCGCATATAATTCGTATTATTCAAGAAAAAATAATTTAAATTCTCTTCTAATTGAAATTTATTTAATAATATCTAACATTATTTATTATATTTATATTTATTATATTTTTATTCAGAAATGTAAATATTTTAACATTATTGAAACAATTATATTTGTATGTATAGGCGACCCATGATAGACTTGAGCAAATTAGACTATTGCCCAAAGCCGTGTGTAGCATTCCAGTTAAAACCTAGCTTGGGATCAGCGTTCCTGCCATTACAACAGCCAGCCAGTCCAACAATGGTTGCCAGTGCATCACCTTCTTCGCATACAACACCAACTACACCTCCTCCAAATCCATAGTCCTGCTCTTTACCTTACAGAATAATGTTCACAAACCCGATTGGTATATATATTTTTTTTTTAATGACCTCATGGGTAGAAAGTGGTTTACTTTGATATGAAAGCTTATACCAACAAAGAAAAGTTACCGAAAAAACAGCCTGTTTCCAGTGCGACCCAATATTCGGGCATCGTGAATGTGTAATTAAAAAGTTATAATTGCATTGATATAAAATATTGAAAGCATCTGAGCTCCGTTAATGTTTCAAACAATAATAAATACGAGGAACAATAATTTGTGATAACTAAAAAACGACATTTAGGAATGAACATTGTGTTCTACAGGGAGAAAGACTAATAAAAATTGTGTATTCTAAATTTAGTGCTAAAATGTGCTAAACGACTTTAGTTTTGTATACAGGGATAAATATTCAAAATGTCAAAGAGTATTAAATTTGATTGTTGGAAAAACAAAATTATACAGATACAAAATGGGTACATGTGCCTGGATATGTACATCGGTACCCTTTTATAAACTTTTCATTAGATCTTTATCACTTAAATAATTCGAATTCATAGTTAAACAAAAAACACTCGTTAGAATTTTGTATCGTTTTGTATTATTATTCATATGCTAAAAATATTCAAATTATTATTATATGAGGAGCTCGAAAATATGTATCCCTATGGTACATTATTTTTTAGAATTATATTCTCTTAGAATTATACACGTACATTCTTTACTACTTTTTTTAAGAACGCGTATGTAAGATAAAGCATAAATTAATTGTCACGATAGTTTATTTTGTATTACGTGTACAAATGTGCACTTTTGCATAGCTTCTTTTTATAGTAATGTCTCTTAGGCAATAAGTTTCTATTTTGAAAGTAAAACAAGCACTTTGTTCAATTATAGTGTTCAGTGTCATAAAACAACTTATGGAAGTTAAGTTAATTGCAAGAGTATATTCTATTGTTTAATAATTATATTACCATAGGGTTACAAAATTTTTGATTTAATATGTTATGTTAGTTTACTATCTGAATATGTACAACCAATACAGCATGCAATGACAGGTTGATGAATGTATGATAGAATGAACCTAATGATATAAGGTGGAAATGTAATGAGTAAAAATATGACAAGTGGTAAAATTAAACATTGATTGAAGTAACAAATAACATGTGCTTTAGCCAGTGTGGTATCAGATGTGCATACAAATGGCTCCCTAACTTGGCACAGTATGGGTGTGCGTGTAGGGTTTTGTATAAACGTGGATCATAGTAAACAAATTTATAATCTACGTTCTATACAAATAAGTATGCATGTGTTGTAATATCGGAATCCTGATTAAGCCATCCGCGAATAACAGTAAAACTTTATTATTGAAATATTATATTATAAGTATTTGAAGTTTTATATCTTTAAAACTTAGTTATTTAAATTTATGATAATATTTTTTGTATTTTTATTATGTTAATAATTATCAATTGTTTGTTCTTTTATTAAATGTTTTTACAATAAAAATAATCAAAGAAATATCAAATATTGTTAATAATCTTTATATAAACAAATTACTTGCTCTAAGAAAAAGATCAAGAGTTATTTGTGTGATGGCTTAATTTATTATTTAGTATATGCAGACATAGCCACTCAAGAAGTTCAATTTATTTTTTGCTTTCTAATACAAAACGTTTTGCAAACAATTTTATAGTTATGGTCTGAGGAATAAGGATCTTAATATAAGATCAAGAGCAGGGAAGAACAGTTTTTTAAATACAATAGTAATATACTTTCTAATATTATATTGTATCTAGCTACAACAGTGAAAAATGTTAACACATAAAGTACCTGGCACACTGGTCTATGCTCTCTTTTATCCAGCTCACTAGAAAGTTCATGCCTTAGAATGCGTGGCAAAGTGTGCTAAATAGACAGGAAGGTTAATGAGAGAGTCAGGATATATACAAAATGCACTGGCTAGTTAACAAGTATACAATACAAAACTAATCTGCTATCTAGCTTAAGAAGATTTTCTTTTATTTATTTTCGCTATGGACCTAAATAACATCTATCCCATTGCTATAAAAATACATGAATGTAAACGTAAAGTTTGCAGGCGCTCTAAAAAAAGAAAAAAATTTATCGATCGTGTATTTCATCTGTTGGCGTATTTTTACTTAAACAGAGAAAAGAAATGTTTTAACGTTACATGTATTAATCATAGTGAATAAAAAGTTTCATACTTTTACTAATAAGCAAAAAAGAAAATTATTTTAGAAAAAAACTAGCCTTATTATTTTTGACTACACTCATGAGGCTCCACTTTTTAACCTTCATGTACTTGCATAATGTGTTATCATTATTGTTAGCTTTTGTTGTCAATTTCACAAACAGAGGAATGTGTGTAAAGACTGCTAAACTAAAGATTACTTGTTATTTGGATATACCTAAATTTAAAGTTAAATAAAATTAGGCTCAAATTTCTCCGGATACCTATGAAACAATATAGGTACTCTTTAATTCGTTAACTAAATGATCCTTATGTGACTACTGTTCGGTACATTCTCTTTACATATCTAAATCTGAGCAGGCTTCAGAATGGCAAAATGATTATGTCAATTACGAATTTATTTATCCCTAGGACTGTCCAAACGTATCGTTGTAGTATCTCGCACAATACAAGAAAAAACACAAAGATTGTTGAGATTTGTAAGATGCTCAGTCTAAATTTTTTATTACATAAAAATTGTAAAGATAAAATTTGAAAATTTTATATATTTGGTAAAATTAAACGCAGCGTTTATTCATTATTTTTTAATAAATATTTAAAATATTATTTAATCGTTTTTTATTTTTAGCAAACGAATACAAAACCTTTCTGTTTTTTTTGTAATGATATATTATATATAAATTTATAAATATTTATTAAATTAAAATTATTTAATTATAAATTTCATATTTAAAAAATTATAAATTATTTTGAAATGAATAATTTTTTATGTTATAAAAATTTACTATATATTTTTTGAATTATTCAATTATATAAAATTTTTTTCAATAAATGAATTATGAAATGAACTAAATCATTTTTTAAAATAAATTTTTATATTTTATAAAGAGTATCTTACATGCAGTCTTGAACATCCTAATAGTAATTCTCAACGGTACATCGAAAATCAATAATTTATACATAAGGATCTATCTACCTTCTAGTCTGTCCTAGGGCTAAATCAAAATTAGTCAGCGAAGAAAGCTAGTGAATGTAAATAATAATTTAAAACAGTTTATGATGAAATCTTTGTACGGAACGTAGTGACTAAGGCCAACGAATTCTGTACTTTTCGTGCGTCTCGCGAAAGTTCGTTGAACGAAAAAAAACTTGTGGATCAATGCGAACTTTAAAAAAATATATGTATAAAAAAATTACCATAATACGAGCTGTCCATAGTCAACAGAGATTAGACTCCTTTTCCGAACGGCACAATGCAATTGTCAAAATCATAGTAAATATTATTTTTTTTATATTAATTAAAAGATTTTTTTTATATTTCAAAGATATATTTCAAGATTATATTTCAAAATATTCAAAGCTATTAATCTTATTCGAAATTTTATATATTTTTTTTTCATTTTTATTTTTTATTAAACGTATTTTATAATTTATTGTCGTTTGTTTCTTATTCGTTTAATGTTTTGCTTATTTTGACAAGTTTAAATGATAGTCATACGCATCTCTGTGAATCGTAAATTAAGAAATCAATACAATTTAATGAATATTATTATCATTTTTCAAGTAAGTACCGTGTATCAGTATTGTAAAGTATGTTAATTTTTTGAGATCGAGATTTATTTTTTTTTTAATCTTGATGAATTTTCATGAATATTATATGTATAAATGAACTTATATTTTCTACGGAATAAAATACTCTTTAAGTAATAAGTTATACATTGTATTTTTCGTGCATTATCAAATTTCAAAATATAAAAGCAAATTAAAATATAAGATTTAGTACATAAAAGATATATTATTGACTTATTTTTGAATATTTTATCAATATGATTATATATTATTTATATTTGATATTTAAAATTTTAATAATCCATATGTTTACAAATATTTTAATTGCTTTCAATAGTAATTTTTGTTTTTTTTTTTATCTGTTAAAGAATTATATTTGTCCATTAAATTTAAATATTGAATTATATTTTTATCGAAACATTAAGAACTTATTTAATAAATATATACGATTATTTTTTTTCCCCTATTCCAAGCAGAATATTATTATATTATATAATATCAACTTGAAATGAATGTATCTGATTTGTAATCAATTTTATAAGTAATATAATCATATACCATTATGTTACAAAACTTACTATGATTATGATGTTATGATTGCGATGCGCTATAAGTATAGATTCCATAGATTTGTTTAAAGCGTATGTAATTGCAATTAATACATTGACTGCCATACAATAATGTCTTACTTTTCGATACATTTGTATCGAATTAAGTATAAGCGACTATAATTTTTAAGATAACAAATATTTGTCATTTATGTTGTTGCTTACATGAGCTACAATATAAAACTCTTATTACAACATCATCAAATGTATCATAATATGTAACAAATATACGGACGTATCGTTGGTTCCTTTGTAATAAAAATACATTATGGTTCCACATTCGGCAGTCAAAGTATTAAGGATGGTTATATTAATGATTCGATAAACTTTGCTATTATAAAAAATTTTTATATCTCAATATGGAAAGGTAAAAAACCCAGTTTGTGTCGCTCAGTACAAATACTAATTCATATTACGATTGAAATTTTATTGTTATAACGTATATTTATTTTTTTTTATATATATAAGCGTCACGTTCAAAAAATAAAAATTTACGCGTGAATACATTCTTTGATAATTGGTTTTTTGCAAAATTTTCTTATCTTACCTCTCCATAGTGAGACTCCTATGCAACTTGTTAAACCTGTGAATCTTATATGCGATTAGTTGTATTATTTACCAGCATAATACTGTATGTACTTGTTCCAATAACAATATGCACTTTTATTTTTATCATAAAGTATAAATGGAAAAGTGTACCTTTTTATATTACTGTTAAGGCGCCTTACATGAATAAAATTTTTAGAAAACGAGATTGAACACGATATTATAATTTAATTATAAAAACAACACATTTTTTTTTTTTATATTCTTTGCATTGTTTTTTTTTGATTTAAGTTTCTTTATCATTTTATCAAATAATATCTTTTATATACATTTTAATTAAAATCATTTATTTTTATCTTATATTTTCAATGTTATTTTTATTTTCAAATATTTTTTCAAATATTTATTTTAAAATATAGGATATATAACAAATTTATACAATACATAAGAAATATATTTTTTTATCTCATTAGAAAATTAAAAACAGGATTAAGTTTCTCTTTAAATAAATTAAAGTTTTAATCAATATTTCACATAAATGTTCACATAAAAAAAATAATACATATTTTTGTAGAAAAAGACTTAAATTTTAATTATTTTTACTACATATTATTTTTATACATATATCAGCTATAAACAGCATGTGTCAATGTATATTTATACTATACTTGTATACA